TTAAAAGCCCCGCCGCTGCCCGGCCAATCGGTCTTGGGCGCGCTGTAGTGACGTCACGTGCTGGGGAGCGTTTCCGGGCCGGCGGGGTGTCATGGCGGCGCTGGGCGGGCGTGGGGCCGCTCGGCCTGGGGCCCGGCGCGCTGCGGGTGCCCGAGGAGGTGTCTGAAGAAGCGGCTGAGCTGAACAAGCTCAATGTGGAAGGGTGTTGTCCTTTCCTGCCTGTTGTGGGTGTTCTGTGTGCTGAAAGAGCTGTTGAGAATCGCTAACGCGGGGTGCGCTGCGAGTTAATGAGTGTAGCGTGGGGTCCGGCAGTCTGGTGCTGTGTAAGAAAGGCGTTTGGGTACTGTCTTTAGAAATAAGTAAAATGTGTCAAATCAGGGCTTAAAAAAATGTGTGTCTTATGCTTAAAACTCAACATCCTGTGCTGGGAGCAGCTGCTGGGGGCTCTGGGGGCAGCTTTTGTTGGCTGTGATACCCGTCCTCTGTGGGGTCCCAGGAAAGCTGTGGGATGTCTGTGTCTAAATGCCACATTGGATAAGAGCTGTTGCTTTGCAGGGAAGGACAAACATGGACTTGTGCTCAGATGGGCTGCAGAGGCACAGGTGCTGGCTGTTCTCACAGGGCTAAGGGCCCTGCTCCATCTGCTGAGGGTGGTTCTGGCCCCAAGAGACCCCTGGCAGTGTGGGGCTGGGGCTGCTGCTGCACCCTGCCCACTGGCAGCTCTTCCTGGGATGGCACTTCAGTTCTAATGGCCAGGAGAAACAGCATCACCCTCCTGGTGCTGTCACAGCTTCCCTATGTCATGACTGAAGATCTGGGTGTTTGCCAGGGGCAGGGTGTGAAGCCTGGGGGGGTGAGGTGTGTTCTGCTCCCAGCACCATCGGGGTGGGGGCTTGGGGGGCCTGAAGGTGTCCCCTTCAGCTGCTGGAGGTAGCTCCTCACCTGTGTGCTCTGTACCCCTCGGGTGCACTCACTGGTGCTGACCCGGTCCTTGTGGCTGGACAAGTGTCCCCCACAGCCCCCGTGTGAGGCTGCAGTGAAACCGCCTGCTGGAGTCACAGTGGGGCTGGTTGGAGCCTGTCACTGGGCCACCTCCTTCCCGGGGCAGCGGGGAATGGATCCTGCTGCTGCCTCAGCCTGAGATAAAGCAGACGATGCAGTGACGATGCCGGTTTGGCTCGTTGGCCAAGAATGCAGTTTCTTCAGCACGGGGCTGCAGAGCGGTCCCGCTGCAGGCACTTCTGCACATGAAGCACTTCCCTTCCCTCCGGAGCGGCTCTGTCTCACCCTGACTGTCACTGACTCACTCTGTCTGTCAGCTGCTGATGCCGGGGGTTGCATCACAGCACCAGTTCAGCATAAGGCATTTATTTTCCTGTCCACAGCAGAGTGAGCAATTTCATCTCGTTTCCTTTTTCAGAGCTTCGATTCCAGCTGCAAACTGCTCCTTGCTCCAGGAATCCCCCTCCCATGTTTGGGTTCTGGTCAGCAAAGCAGAGGTGAATGTTATTGCCATTTCCTGGTGCTGGTGTTCCACCCTCACACCTTCCCTGGGGGCTGTGCTGGCTTCTGATGTCAAGGAGAGGGTGGGTGTGTGCTGTGGGGTGACACAGATGGCAGGGGGCTTGGTAGGTGCCCTCCTGGCTGTGGCTGCGTGAGTGCTGGTCTCTGCAGAGGCTGAGGGTCTGAAATCCCCCCGGCAGCAGCTGCAGGTTGTGGTGCAGCGAAGAGCAAAGGTAAGAGCAGTCTGTCATCCTCCTCCTCTTCCTTTCGGACCTGGTTTTGAGCCCGTGGCCAAGTGGGGGTGTGATGCCAAGCTACGTGGCTGATGGCAAGCATGTGCCACCCCCGCCAGTGCCCAGAACAGGGGGTGGCTGTAGGGCCTTGTGCTCCTTGCACGTGGCTTGAAGGGCATGAATTCAGGTGCTGGCAGGGTGAATCCTGGGGTGTCATCCCCACTCAGGTCTTGAGCTATCACCATCATAAACCAGTAGATCATGGTGCTCGTGGATGCAGAATTGTGCTTACATGTGTGTGCGCACGATACAGCCCTTCCAGACCCCTCTCCTCTGTCAGTCTGTCTTCAGTACAGCTGCATAAAGAATAAATGGCTTTACATTTTGGAAGGTCTTCAGAACAGCTCAGAGGTGGCCCTTCTGCTTCTCCCAGCCCTCTGATGTGTGTCTGTGGGCCAGCAGCAGCCCCGCTGGAAGTGCTGAGAGCGCCTTCAGAATTAAGAGTAGCTGTGACCTGCCTCTGACTGCGGTGGGGTGAAGGAGGTGCTCATTGAAGTCGTGGTGTGATTAATTACTCTGTACTGTTTCTGGCTGATGGGCCGTGTCATCAGCCGTGTTTGTCTGCGGTGTTCTGGAGGGGCATGGCTGAAGGTCCTCATCAGAGTGCTCTAATTGGATCCAACTGTGGGTTTGTTCCGTGTCAGGATCTGGATGTTACGGCTCAGGCCGGCAGCCAAGGTCCCCGGTTGTGAACAAGAACACGGTTCCTTATGTCTGAGACACCCTTCAGCCAGCATTTGCTGGGTGATTGCTGCGGGTTCAAAGGTTGCCACCATGAAGACAGCCAGGGTGGGCAATCTCTGAGCATTTTACCCAGGAACACTCATGTGGGGGCTCTTTTTCTGACGCCTGAGTTGGGTACCTGTGCACAGGGACATGGCTGGGTGGTGCCATCCCAGCCCACGGCCCTGAGGAGCTGGGGCAGACTCTCTGTGGCAGGGAGGGCTCCCCTTCCCCATGGCTCTCCCCCATCCCCAGGGATGGTGACTCCTGGAGGTCCCTGGCTCGCTCTCGGGTTGTTTCTGCCCCTGAGCTTTCCCAGAGTGAGCTGTGATATGGCCACTGTCCTGCTGTCCTTAGAGCAGGATTTCAGTGTCTGTCTGAACACTGAGCTGGGAGGGAGGAGAGAGAAAAAGCAGCAGCCTCTGCCTGGGAGGCAGCAGGGTCCTCTCCCACAGCTGGGGGTGTGTGTGTGTGAATGTGGAGTGAATGCAGAGCCAGGGGGTTCAACCTGTGCAACACCTGAGCAAGGCCATGGGTAATGGCAGTATAAAAGGGCTCCGAGTTGAACTGGTGAAATATAACCATAAAAATAAATCTGAGTGCCTTTATTTTTGGAGCCGAGCTCTTAAAGTGTTCTTGCACGGAGATCTTGTCTTTCAGGAATGCAGTAAAACAGTTAGCAGCTGGTGCTACCTTGTTAAAGTAAAATTTTCAGGAAACACAAAGCTCATGCTTTGATTTTTCAGCTTTTACCTCCTGCTAACTTGATTTGAAAATAGTTATTCTTCACTTACAGGGAAAGCACGAACTCAAATCAGTTACTGAATTTGAATACCCACGAACATTTATAGAGAGCATCTGACTTCTATCTGGTTAGTTTGTTTTTTCACGTAGGGGGGGAGTTTGCCCAAAAAACTTTGCTTCACCATAGGCTCATGGATTTCAAACAGATTTCAGAGTTGAATTTACTGCAAGGGTCCATAGTTAGGAAAAAGTCAAAGAATTTGGCACCTGAATTTCAGTGTAAAGTGAGTCGGAGGCAGAAATATGTGATAAAAAGTTTCGTGAGTCATTTAATAAACCAAGCATGGGTTTCACAAGCCCCGCTGGTTTTCATGCTTAGTCTTTGAGATTTGCATCTTGGCCTGAAGCAGAACTCCCTTGTGATTTTGCAGGGCCCAAGAGGTTGTGTGAGCACTTACCTGCTCAGAAATAAACCAACACTTCTCCCATCTACACGTGTAGCTCTGTTCCTAGTGCCTGGCTGCCTGTGTGTTAGCGTTTCTCTGGTGCTCTTGGTGTTTTCACAGCATTTGCCTTGGCCACTGTGGCTCGTTCCTCGTTGCTGCACCACCCTTCTCCTCCAGCAGACCCTCCAGGGCTGCCCCTTCTGCACTTCATGCTTCCTCAGAAGGGAGGCTGTTCTCCTCGCTCTCCTTATCTGCCAGTCCCGCGTAGGTTCTGTTTCAATCCTCCCTTCCTGCTTTTCCCCTCAACCCTTTCCCTCCTCCTCCCTCCTCCTGTGGAAACAAATCTACAGTAGGTGTCTCCTGAACTTGCCTGAACTCCTTGTCCCAAGCACCTTCCTGACTAATCCTTTCCAGATGTCCAGGAACTTTTATGTTTAGCAGTTTCGCTCGAGTTCCTTATTCATTCTCAGATGGAGCAAACATTATATTTCCTAATATTATTTGAAAAATGAGACTGATCATGGCCGCCTGAGAAGCTGTTGCTGCCTCAAAATGCAATATTTTAAGCACCACTGCAGCCTTCTACCCCCAGATCGGGGCACAGCAGGTATTCACAGATAGCAGAGGAGTTTATTTTTCTGTAGGAGTTTAATTTCTCTGTGTCTGTGAAACCCTGAGAGGGCTTAGTGCCACACTCCTACCCACCGAGTGGCAGAGGTGTTGGCTTGCAACCTCCCAGCTACAGCAGCAAGGAGAAATGAGGGGATCTGTTGGATGTTCATCTGACGGTGACGCAACAAGGGCAAGTGAGTTTCTCTGCCCATCTTCTCATCCAGTTTCCAGCGTAACTTTGGTTTTGGGGAGCAGACTGTTACTGCAGCAGGGGGTACAGGTCAGTGGGTTCCTTTGGTCACACTCTGGGGGTGACCTGTGCA